TAAGTGGCAGGGGGAATGGGAGGAGGAGAGGGAGTGGAAACTGGGATTGGGTATGTACAATGAAAAAAGATAGTTTGCTTTATTTTTAAATTTTTTTAAAAAAAGACAGGAATGATTCAAATTATCAATACGCAGTGGGAATCCTGTGAAGGTAGAGAGCCCCGAATGTGAAGAAAATTAGCAAAACAAAAAAACAAAAAAGATAGACATGGGCAGGAACACATCTTAATATGTGAGAGAGACATGTTGAAATACAAGGTTTTGAGCGATTTGGTCTAGAATTGAAACTGAGCACAGTTGAACTGGGCATTGGAACAACACACCTGTGAAATCCTTGGAGTCACATTCCAGGTAGAAGCAGTTACTGCCTTAGGTAAGGTGTGACCCCTGTAAATTAGATTTGGAAGTTGGTTCTGATATAAGTTTTCTGGTAACAGTGCTTCTGTTCTCTAATTTCCAAACTAGACATTCTGTTGGAATGCATGCTTGTTTTTCATATGTATATAGGATTAAAATGGTATTGTGCTTTGTTTCGGGGGGGAGGGGGAAGAGAACAACACACCATGACCAAAACAACTTAAGGAGGAAAGCATTTATTACTTCCACATTGTAGTCCATCACTGAAGGAAGTCAGTGCAGGAACTCATCTAGGACAGGAACCTGTAGGCAGGAGCTGACGCAGAGGCCATGGAGGGTGCTGCTTATTGACTAACTTCACAAGGTTTACTCAGCCTGCCACCTTCCCTGGGATGGCCTCAAGCACAATGGGATTGTCCCTCCCACAGCATTACTAATTAAGAAAATGCCCTATAGTCTGCTCATAGCCTGATCTTATTGTCCGCTCCTCTCCAGTGACTCTAGCTTGTATCAACTGACATACAATTAGCCTGCACAACTGACACCTTGTCAACTTGATACACAAACACATCACTATTAAGATACAAGCTTTCTTTTCTTATTCATCCCCGAGATTTCACATAAATAGGAATAGCACAGTATAAAATATTCCAAATTTTTAAAGTCCTACAGCGTTTACACTTAAAAGTTTTAAGTTTCTTTAAAATATCCAAATTTCTTTTAAATTCCAAAATCTTCTTGAAAGTTTAAAATCACTAACTGTGGGGTCCTGTAAAATAAAAAAATCAGTGACTTTCTTGTCTTCTGGAGGAAAGAACCAGAACACAGTGTGAACAAGGCAAAACCACACTCCAACAATATAAATGATTCAATGTCCAATGTCTGGGATTTACTCATGAACCTCTGGGCTTCAAGGGCTTGGGCTGCTTCTCTGGCTCTGCTCTTTGCAGCACACAGAACTTGTCTTCCAAGCTTTTACAGGATGCTCTCCACAGATGCTGCTGTTCTTGGTGGTTATTTCATGGTAATAGCATCTCAAAAATGCTGGGGTCTTCTATTACAACTAGGTTGTATTTTCACCAATTGATGTGAGATCCCCCTCAGTACGCTGTGAATTTGTTTTATAATCATTGGTTAATAAAGAAACTGTTTTGGCATGTGTCAAGGCAGAATAGAGTTAGGTGGGAAAACCAAACTGAATGTTGGGATAAAGAAAGCAGGGTGAGAGAAATGCCAGATAGCTGCCCATCGGACCCTTACCAGTAAGTCACAGATTTGCACTGATACACAGATTGGTAGAAATGGGTTAATTTAAGATGTAAGAGTTAGTTAATAAGAAACATGAGCTAATAGGCCAAACAGTGTTATAATTAATACAGTTTCTGTGTGATTATTCAGGTCTAGGAGACTGGGAAATGAACGAGCAATCTCTGCCTACAACCAATATTCTTTCCTGGGCTTTCCTCAAAATCCAAATCCTCAACTTTTCTCCATGAGTCCTTCAGTCCTAGGGCTTGCACTGATACTCCAGCAGCATCTTCACTGATGGCTCTCCTGGTCTCTTACAGTGCCAGCCCTCAGCTGTTCTTCACAACCGCTTCATGCCTTTAAAGCCAGATCCACTTGGGAGACTCTTATACATAACTGAGTTTGGCTACCAACACAAGGTACAACCTTGACCACGTCTAAACAAAGTTTACATGGACTGAACTCTGTGGAACAACTTCCCAAAAGATTTCACCTCGGTGTTGCTGTCCTTTTCTTAATCCAATTCTTCAACCCCAACTGACCAGCATCCTTTAATGGTCCTGGTCTCTAGTTAATCACAGCTGATTCTACAGTTCCAGCTGACCAGGCACCACAGATTCATCACACAAATGACCTGCTAGAGTCTTCACTTCCCTCTGAAACTTTATAAGCCAGGCCTGTATTTTCTGCATTGCTTTCAACACTTTTATCTTTTAAGCTCCTACAGAACATTCCTCTGAACTTTCAACACGCAATGGTTTTTCTACCCCAAAATTCCAAGTCCTTTCACTATCTTCCCCCAAACAACATGTTTCAGATCTGTCTATAAATATCCCACTCCTGCTACTAATTTTTCTTAGTTAGGACTACTATTGCCATAATGAAACACTATGACCAAAGCAGCTTGGGGGTGGTATTTGGCTTACACTTCCACATCGTTGTTCATCATCAAAGGAAATCAGGTCAGGAATTCAAATAGGGAAATAACCTGTAGGCAAGAGTTGATGCAGAGGCTGTGGAGGGATGCTACTTACTGGATTGTTTCACATGACTTGCTTAGGCTGCTTTCTTACTGAGCCTTGAACCACCTGCCCAGGGGAGGCATCACACACACTGGTCTGGGTTATAGTGGTATATTATTTGTGTTTTAATAAATAAAGCTTGCCTAAAGATCAGAGGGCAAACAGTCATACTAGTCAACCAACAGGCCAGGGAGTGTTGGCACACACCTTTAATCCCAGGACTCAGGAGACAGAAGAAGATGGATCACTGTTAGTTAAAGTCAACCCTGGGCTCTACAAGATTGAATCTGTCTAAAAGAGAAACAGAGCTCACATGAAGGTGATCCTAGCACTTGGAATCACATGCCTTAATCCCAGCACTATGGAGGTGGAGACAGGAATGATATGGCTGGGCAGAGAGGAATATAAAGGGGGAAGAGACAGGAAATTAGTAGAATGTGGAGTGTAGGGTGTTTAGTCTTCAAGATTCATGGAGACAGGATCTTGTCCATTTTGGTCGGTGGCAGATGTAAGAGCCAGTGGCTGGCTGCTTTGCTTTTCTGATCTTCACATTGAACTAAAATATCTGTCTCTAGGTTTTTTATTTGTGCTACACTGGGCCCTTCACACCAATCACTAATTAAGAAATTGCCCTATAGCCTACTATAGACTGACCTTATTGAGGCGTTTTCTTGATTGAGGCTCCCTACTCTTATAAAACTAGCCATCACAGCTTCTGACACTACCAGGACACATAATCTTACAGCAAACTTACAGGTCCTATAGCTCTTACACTCTTTCCACACAATGACTGCCTTAGGTGCAGAAGTCACATTGTAAATATATCCACTAGAACTAGGCTCCACAACTCCACATTTTGAGAGGTTGTTGTTTTCTGTAATGATTTCTATCTGCTACAAGGAAAAGTTTTTTGAAGAGGGGCAAGGACAGCACTTACCTGTGAGTATTAGAACAAATATTTAGAATGTTGTTATGGATTATGGTGGGTTAGTAAAGTCATGGTTGTAGGTTCTTTTTCAAGACTCATGCCTTCAATAGCCCTGAGCAGTTGACTAGGCTTCCAGTAGTGTTGGAAGCATAGGCATGTTGTCCCTCGTGTTGAGCAGGCCTGGAGTACAATTAGAGAACTGTTGATTACTGTGAAGGAATGTCTACCACTACTTAACCCTCAGGACTATTGAGCCAGGCTAGTCATTGTTGTTGTTCACAGGCAGCATAGCCAGGTAGGAATTCCCTGCTTTGGAAGTTGGCATATCACCTTCTGGTAACATGCAAGCTGGTCCTCAGGAAGTAGGCATTCAGGTCAGTTCCAGGTCAGAAGACCTCTGGGTCTTGTATATGAAATGCATGACACTTTTAGCAATAGGGACATAATGTCCACCTCTGGGAGCAAACCAAGGGCAATAGCAAAAGACTGTAGTGTTTGGGGAGTGTCTTGGACAACCCTGGCCAACAACTCAAAATGTTTCTCATGCCTGGTGTTGGGGTTCTGTTAGGTGGTCTTTGAGAAAACATTGGTCAGCTCAAATAAAAATTTTCATTTAAAGTATCTGTATATGTTTATACACAGACTTATGTGTATTATAAGATTTTTTGTAGATAGTCAATTGTAGCATGAATAACAAAACCCAGAGACAGAAATTGGGGTTCAATTCAAGAACCAGAAAAAGAGAAACAGCTAAGCCACTAGATAAGTCTTACCTCTACCAAGGCTGGGTGACTGTAGACTACACCATCTTAGCTTCTCTCTCCTCCCATTTTAAATTCCCTCTAGTGTTGTGATTAAAGGTGTGTGAATCCCTAGGACCGGGATTAAAGGTATGAGCTAACATCATCTGGATTTGATTTTGTATGGCCCAGGTGGCCTTGAACTCAAAGAGATCCATCTGACTCTGTCTCACAAATCCTGGGACTAAAGGTGTGTGTTGCCATTGCCTGACCTCTAGTGGGCATTAGCTTTGCCTCTGGTCGTCAGGCAAGATTTATTATCAAAAATACAAATAATATACCACTACAGTTAATAGCAAGATTACTAATGACTCTCTCAAACATCTTTGCTGAGATGTCGTCTTCCCTCTGTATTTATTTCCCTCCCCTCCCCCTAATTAAAGCCCTGTCCTTTATCCCATTTTTAGAATCAGATCTCCTGTCTATTGCTCGTTTACTCCCACACACCAGCAATGGTTCCATTTTACTTTCCTGGTTTCTGTGATTGCTCCAGGCTGTGTACTCGCATCTGAAGATTTGAAGCTAGAAGCCTCTGATGATGTTTGTCTTTCTGGGTCTGAGTTACCTCATTTAGTATGATCTTTTATAGTTTCATCCATTTATTTACATGTACAATTCACTATTTCATTTTTCTTTTCATTCTTTTTATTTTTTGAAAACTTCATGAATTTGCATGTTGTCTTTGCACAGGGGCCATGCTAGTCTTCTCTGTATCATTCCAATTTTAGTATATGCGCTACTGAAGCAAGCACAATTTTAATTTTATTACCAGCTGAACAGTATTCCATAGTGCACAAATAAGAAATGTCCATTATGCATTCATTGGTTGGAGGTCATGTAGATTGTTTCCATTTCCTAGTGCTAGTGAATACAGCATCAATGACCATGATCTGTGGAGAAGGATATCAAGTCCTTTAGGCATCTGCTGTAGAGTGGCATAGCTGGGTTATAAAATAGATTAATTTTTAGACTTTTTGGAGGATCCTTGACACCAATTTCTACAGTGGCTGAATCAATTTGATATCCTACCAACAGTAAATGGTTTCCCTGAATCCCTTCCAACATTTGTTGTTGGTTGTTTTGTTGATCTTTGTCTTTCAGACAGGGGTAAGATATAATCTCAAAGTTGCTTTGATTTAAGTTTTCTAATTTCTAGGGATGATGAAATTTTTTTACTGAGATATTTCTTAACCATTTTTTCTGCTTTTGAGAGCTCTCTATTCAGGACTCAGAACCATACTTGAAATGGGTCATTAGGTTTTGTGAAACTTTGTTTCTGAATTCTTTGTATACACTAAATATTAATCCTGTCAGACATAGAGCTGGCAAAGATTCATTCCTTTTCTAGAGACTTCTTCCACATTTGATGACTCTTTAGCTTGCAGAAGAGGTTCCATTATCAAATTTCTGTCCTCAATTCCTGGGCTAATGGGGTTCTATCCAGAAAGTTGTTTACTAATCCTACATCATGTAGTATCTTCCAATTTCAGTGTTTCAAATTTCACATCTAGGTCTTTGATACATTCGGAGTTAGTTTTGCTTCAAGGTCTAATTTCATTCTTCTGCCTGTGAACATTCAGTTTCCAAGCACCATTTGTTGATGACATTGTCTTTTCTCAGGTATGTGTTTTGTGGCATCTTTGTTGAATGTTAGATGGCTATAGTTATGGGAGTTCATATTTGGGTCTTTGATATTGTTCCATTGGTCTACACGCCTGTCTTTGTGCCAATGACATATTGTTTTTGTCTAGTTCTGTAATATATCATGAGGTTAAGATCCTTCTAGCATTGTTCTTTTTCTTCAGGATTGTTTTAGCTATCTGAAGTCTCTGGTAGTTCAATATGAATTTTAGGATAGTTTTCTTCCATTTCTGTGAAGAATAACTGAGATTACACTGAATCTGTAAATAGATTTTGGTAAAATGGTCATTTTTGCAATATTAATTTTACCAACCCGTGAGCATGAGATGTCTTTCCTTTTTCTTTTCTTTTTAGCAGGTTCTGGTGTTGACAAAGGCTATCATTCATTCCCAGCCACCCAGAACCAAAATAACCACACAGAAACTATATTATTATAGCATTGCTTGGCCTATTAGCTCATACTTCTTTTTGGTTAGCTCTTATATCTTAAATTAACCCATCCCTATTATTTTATAGTTTAACATGAGGCTTGTGGTTTACCAGCATGGTTCTGGAGCATCTGTCTCCTGCAGTGTCACATGGTGTCTCTCAACTGTACCTACTCTCTCCTCCTCTTTCTGCTTAGAACTCCTGTCTTGTCCTATTCTGCTAGGCCACTGACCAAAACAGCTTTATTCATTAACCAATAAAAGCAACACATAGGCAAAAGGACTTCCCACATCATTTCCCCTTTTCTGTTCAAATAAAAAGAAAGGTTTTTAACTTTAACAAAGTAAAATTTCATATAACAAAACAAGTATCAAGCAATAACTACAGTTGCAACATTTATATCTGCTTTATCTTTTGTTATAACTAAGGAAAATTATAACTTTCTATTCTTCAACTCCATCAAAGTCCCCATAAGGATATAATATTACCAAAATGAACAGGAAGTGCATTGTAAGCAACTTCCAAAACTTTAGAATTGACAGAAACATTTTGCTGCCTGGACAGTCACCCAAAGTTTTTCTGTAATGTTGGGGTATCCATCTTCAGCCTGTAGTCCCATAATATTTGGCAGAGTTTTCCATGAAGCAAGAAAACTAAAGTCCTCGTCTGTCTTGTAATGGCAAAGCCCATCAGTTGCTTTCTTCAAACAGTATTGCAAATAATATAATTTCTGTGTGATTATTTCGGGTCTGGGGAACCAGGAACAAATGAACAGCCTCCATTAGCAGATTGGTGCCAATGTGGTCGACTATATTCATGTAAAACCTGAGAAAGCCTGAAAAGGAATTCTTGACACAAAATGATAGTGTCAAGCACAGCTTCTTGGTAGCCAGCATTTTTTTTATTTGGATAAGCTTTGTTTGCTGGTGGTGGGCAGGGGTGCTGTGTGGCTCCTTCAAGAGAAGTCTTCCTGATTCAGCATTAGCAGCAACAACAACAACAAAAAGCACAGCTTAATCAAGAAACGGCAGCTTCCTGGTTCATGCTAGTTGCATAAACAGCACTGGCTCCTTCAGGAGGCCAAGCACTTGAATGGGATTTGTGGGCAATATGCTTCAAGTTAGTTGGTGACAGCAAGGTCAATTTTGTTGTATTTATTTCTGCTCTTGATTAAAGTATTGTATTTGTGCAGCTCATTTAAAACTGTAATGTATCATTAAGAAATATAGGTTAATAGATAGTCATCTATACTTGTCAACCTTGTAGTCATGTTAAGTTTTCCAGATATATAGAGATATATTTCAGTTAGATAAGTATTCTTCAAATCTTTCAGAGACTTCAAGAATATGGCATTTAAAATGTTTTAATAACTTAGGATTTTTCATGACATGAGACACATCTGTTCCTGGCAACACCATCCTACTTCAAGAGGAATGTGGGCATCAAAGAGACTTCTTATGGAGTTTCTTAGTAAGAAACTTCTCTTGCCTAGACTGCTTGATGGTATGCTGTATGAACTAGACTTGCAGGACCCACAGAAAAAAGACTGCTGAACTTGTCTAAAGGTGAGACTGTCCTTCAGGGTTCCTGCTTCATGAGTCTGCCAGACATTCTGCAGGACATAGAAAAAAAGTGGCTGACAAACTGCCAATATAGGTCAAACTATCTTTGAAATTTCCTGGTCCATGAGAAAGTCTGCCAGATACTCTGGGCCTGTAGGCTGAAGGTGGATGCTCCAAAGATACAGAAGAACTTCGGGTGACTGTCCAGGCAGTGAAATCTTTCTGTCAATTCTACATAGTTGCTTATAATGCACTTCCTGTTTACATAGGTAATATTATATCCTTCTGGATTCTTTGATGAAGTTGAAGTTATAATTATAGTTTTCCTTAGTTATGATAAAAGATAAAGTAGATATAAATATTGTAACTGTACTTCTTATTTATACCGGTTTTGTTATATTAATTTAGTTTGTTAAAGTTAAAACCTTCCTTTTCATTTAGACAGAAATGGTGAGATGATATTGGAAGTCCATCTATCTATGTGTTGCTTTTATTGGTTAATGAATAAAGAAGCTGCTTTGGCCTGTGAAAGCGCGAAGTAGAGGTAGGCAGAAAAACTAAAGTAAATATTGGGAGAAAAAGACAGAGTCAGTGAGAAGCCATGAAGCTGCTGCAGGAGATAGACATGGAAGACAAACTCCAGATGGAACCTTACGGGTGATATACAGATTAATAGACATGGGCTAATTTAAGGTATAAGAGCTATCCAGCAATACACTTAAGCTATTGGTCAAACATTTTTCAGATAATAGAGTTTCTGTGTGATTATTTTGGGTCTGGGTGATGGGGAACGAATGAAAAGCCTCTGCCTACAGTTCTGGCTTTATTTTTTTATATTTTTTTAAAAATTACTTTTCAATTTACATAACAATCCCAGTTTCCCCTCCCTCCCCTTCTTCTACACCCCCCACCTCCCACTTCCCGTTTCCCCATCCACTCCTCAAACAGGGTAAGGCCCTCCTTAGGAAGTCAACAAAGTCTGTCATACCAACTTGAGTCAGAAGCAAGCCCATTCCCCTCCCACATATCAAGATTGAACAAGGTATCCCACCAAAGGAATGGGGTACAAAAAGAACCTGGAACAGGTTCTTGTACCACTGCCAGATACTTGCCCCAACAGATCAAGCCACATAACTGTCACCCACATCCCAAAGGTCTGGTTTGGTACCATGCAGGTTCCAAACTTTCAGTCCATGGTCTGTGAGCTCGCACTAGCTCAGGTCAGCCGTCTTTGTGGTTTTCCCCATCATGCTCTTGACTCCCTTGCTTATATGATTTCTCTTCCCTCTCATCGACTGAACCCCAGGAGCTCCGCCCAGTGCCTGCTGTGGGTCACTGATCTGCTTCCATCAGTTACTGGATGTAGGTTCTCTTCCTCTCTGTGAAAGTGGGGCCTGTGGGGCTGGTGGTGGCTGTTATGGCTGTTGGTGGTTGGTGGTACTGCCGCCTGGTGGCTGGGAATGCCATGATGAGGAAGGGGTCTCTCCATCCAGGATATTAGACACTCACCTGGCCCTCCAAATGCAAGTGGGAGCAGTCGTTTTTACTTTCTCTAGTTCTTATCTCTTAATTCAGAGGCTCAACATTTTCTTTCTTTCTTGTTATTTATTGAAAATAAACTCTTCTCATACATTTCAACTGCAGGTTCTCCTCCCTCCACTCCTTCCAACTCCTCCTATCCCACCTCCCCTCTCCCCTAGATCCACTCCCCCTCTGTGGTAGTTTGAATGTAATTGGCCCCCATAATCTCATAGGGAGTTGAACTATTAGGAGGTATGGCTTTGTTGGAGTGGGTATGGACTTGTTGGAGGAAGTATGTCACTGCAGGGGCAGGCTTTGAGGTTTCCTATGCCCAGTATCTCAGTGCACTTCCTGTTGCCTACTAGATGTAGGACTCTCATCTCTAGCACCATGTCTGCCTGCATGCTTCCATGCTCCCCCACCATGATGATAATGGACTAAACCTCTGAAACTGCAAGAAAGCCACCTAAATTAAATGTTTTCCTTACAAGAATTGTCATGGTCATAGTGTCTCTTCACAGCAATAAAAAACTTAACTAAGACAGGAGTTGGTACCAGGGACTAGGATATGGTTGTGATAGGCCTGACCATATTTTTAT